TACCCACCGGGCACACGACGTTGTTTCAATGTTGAAATTTGGTAGAAAAAAGGTTGCGACGTCGACAACCTAATATCTACGTTGCTCTGACGTTGTTTTACAAACATTGGTTCAACAGCTGCCAACAGACGTTGAATTCATGGTTAAATGTACGACGTCGATTTGTGAACCAATCTCAACGTTGTTTTAACGTGGATTCAACGTTGAATTATGGTTGACGAGATTGGCAACCTAATTTGAACGTTGTTTCAACGTCGAAACAGTAACGTCGATCCAATTTGCATAGTCAACCCTTTTTCAACGTCTATCCAACGTCTGGAAGGTCATTTCCAACGTTGATTCAACGTTGGATAAAAGTCATTTTGCCCGCTGGGTATTTCTTTTTTTCTCCACAAAAGGGAAAATGCCTGGCAGAGAGGTTATGTACTGTACCTGTCTCTTTTGCTGGTACTCGATTTCTTCTTGCTTTCTTCAGCTCATTTTTAAGGTCAGCATTGTGTATTTTCTCAAACTTTATCTCCTGATGGAATCTTTCGTTTTCTTTTTGCAATTCGATATTTTCTTGATCAATTTTATCCCGTTCCTTTTGCAAACCTTAAATAATAATTATACTGTTGCAGCTAACTGGGCAAATATGCAACTATACGCTCTCTGGCGGATTTTACTCGTCAAGAGGAGAGTGTTGTCACTCAATAGTTTAAAAATATACTATACAGTAGATAAGCTTTCTGTATAATAAGGCATACCTCCCACCGCAGCGTCCATCTGCATCAGGTAGACTTCGAACTCACATATTCTCTTCTGAAGTATCTCTATATCCTTTTCTAACCTTAATCGTTCCTCATCATCAATATCTATACATCGGGACCCTTCGTCCGTGCTATTTTTTCTTCCGCTCATGTTGTTTTCAAGCTTGATATTGATCGTTCCTTAATAAGCTCGTGGATGCAGACCGCGGTTACCTTGCGCTAATTATTCTCGTCATTAATTGCTGCCGTGCGCGCACGGCAAGACGCGTGCTTCGTGCCAGTTTCCTTGACTGAGATTCGCACCACAAATTGTGTGTTTAATTCTAATTTTGTGCAGTCGTCAAACAAAGTAATTTGAAATTTTTCTTAAAATATCGTTGCACGACTAGATGTTTTGTTTTGGGCAATTTTGACATTCTTTGACTTATCAAAGTGTAGTCAATAGAAGCCTTAAAGATTGACGTTTACAGCAACTTCAAGTCGTATTTTGAGGTCAACTGACAACTGCTATAGGTGCTTGAAGTTGGGGCAATATAATTTGTGTATTAAAATGAACTTTCTTTATTAATAAATCTCGAAAAGTTTGACAAAAAAATGAAGAAATTTATGGATACTGATTACTGTGAATACTAAAAGACAACCAATGTAAGTTTAACATACTATACGTTTTATTGGCAATTTGATAAGGTTTTGGTGCGGTTTTGTTCATTCAAACATCAACAAATTATACGATGTACGAATTACCATGTTTAGTTGTTTTGCCTGTCGCTTTATTAAGTTACTTTTTGTTGGTATTTTCGCCATGTTTCACACAGATTTTGCTCCTATAAATATGCCCATAATTATTTGTGAATTGTTTAGTTAACAGTTTTAAGTAACCAAGATGCATTGCAATTATTCTCCGATTTATTTTGCTCAATTTTGATCCCATAAAGTTTGACCAAAAAATGTATGGATACTGATTACTGTGAATACTAAAAGAGACAACCAATGTAAGTTTAATAGGGTTTTGGCGCGGTTTTGTTCATTCAAAAATCAACAAATTATATAATGTACGAATTACCTTGCATGTTTAGTTGTTTTGCCTGTCGCTTTATTAAGTTTCTTTTTGTTGGTATTTTCGCCATGTTTCACAAAGATTTTGTTCCTAATATGCGCATAATTATTTGTGAATTGTTTAACAGTTTTAGCCAAGATGCATGGTAAAACTTTGATTTGTTTATTTTGCTCAATTTTGATCACATTTTTCTTTCCTTTGATTGGTTAGCTAAGGTCACCCTTCAATACAATTGGTTTAAAAAATGATGCGATTACAACTCATGCTGATGCGAACAAAGCTCTAAATAGTGCGATTACAGCTCTAAAATAGTGCGATTTGGGCTGTAACGCACCATTTTTAGCGAATCGGATTATTCGAATTTGATTGCGCGCATGATTTCAAAATGAATATGATAAATTTGAATTATAACTTCCCGACGAAGAGCCTGCGCTCAAAATGACGAAGTTTTCCTTGTATTTTTCAGGTGGTTGAATCCTTACCCATCAAGAGTTCTCTCATGTATAATTATGGTCCGTGCTTAAATCACTTCCTAATTTAGGTAACATGATTTAAGGTAATTCCGCAGTTTTGCATTGCGCACATTTACTGCGCACATCGTATAACTTATAATTTCATCCATTATACGTACCGTTTTATAAAAATTATTTTATGACAATTTTATGTTACTTCAAAACATATTTGTTACATTCGTGCACTAGAATTACGTTAAAATCAATGTTTTCAAAAAAGGCATACAAAAGTGTAGCTAGGGTTCCCTGTGTATGTAGTATATTTAATTCACTTGTGTTTCACGTTTTAATGACACAATTCCCTAAAAAGATCAGTGACCCCCATTTTTTAACTGATCATTTATTTCTTTAATGCATTTTACATTTCATATCCGAAATTAAAAGAAAAACCATTTCTGGATCTTGAAAAAAATCCTTTATCAATGCATGTTCTCAAAGAAAAATATGTAAAGAAATGTGGAAAAAACATTTATGGATCAGAATTGTACACGTTCAGTAGTTTCATTTTACAATATTTTTCAAAAATAATTACAAGATAGCGCTAAAAACGTCAATAAATATCGGGCTGTTAAGTTGTGATTTTGCTGTTACTCGTAATGAGCGTCAAGATGGCGACATATTGGGGTACAGGAGGTATATTGTGATTGTTATATCTTCTTAACGAGTTCGGTGACCCCGACTTTTCTGTGCGATTTTACTTTAAGTATATCACGAACTCCATGGCTGGGAAGTTTCAGCACATTCTCATTTCGGGAACAATTATACTACGGAATTACCTTAACTATTACTTTTTTGTTGAGCAGATATTTTTGGCAAATGAACAAAGAATTCAAAAAATAAAGAACTGTGCATGCTGGTACCACAGAGAACATAATTGAAGATCCGAGTCTCATGTCGTGAGCTAACAGTAGTATACAAGTCATGTAGAAAACCCGAGATTTCAACGGCGGCAGATCACAAATTACTCCGGCGATGGATAAGATCATAACTGGACAGAAACTATATAAAACAACCGAGTCAAGTCAAATATCACGTTACAACTGAACTTGCAATTGGTAAAAGGTAAAAGAACCGAAGACAAAAGATTTTTTCTGTAAGCAATCCTTGCGTTTATTTTATTATTATTTCTTAATATTAATAATATTATAATATTAATTGCAATTAATGCAAGAAAACATATTTTCTTTTTAAATTTGTTATCAAAAACACATAATTATTTAGTTGGCAAAGCTTTCGATACATAAATCAATTTCATCGGTGCAAACCTTCAAGGAAGTTATTATTTCATTATTTTATATTGTTTACCTATTCTTTTATTATTTATCATTTCAATTGTTTTCATTAAAGTTGTTACATTACTGTATTATTTTAAAGGTTAGTTTTACTTATACCTAATATCGTCTGTTCGATTGAATTTCAGTAATATGAAAAGATTTTTTACAAACTAGAGCGTATACAGTTCGCATAAAGTGCTCAAAAGTTATAGCCCGAAATTCGGACAGTTACATCTGCGCACAATTCGGGCGAAATTTTAATAGCATGAGTTTTGATTCAAACTTGACAAAGCTAGTCAGGTTGACAAAGGCGACTATTGGCAGAGATCATGCAACATTGGGAAGAACGGTGTTTTTCAGACCTTAATGCGTACGTCTTTTTTAGAAAATGTGGGTAATTTTACACACCTCAAGGTGTGGTGTGTAATCCGATTGTTGCCAAAATACACACATTTTGGTGTGCTTTTATACTTTATGATGTGTGTAAAATTACGCATCTATTTCTAGCTACACCCGCTAGAGCTAGAGCGTCCAAAAAACTCAATACTTTATAAAGCTCTGTTGCCGTGGGAATGCCAACACCTGTGTTTCCATTGCTGTAAAAATTATTATTATTTTTGCAACTTGTCGCAGTTACAGTTACACTGTAAATTTTAAGGAGTTGAATCAACTCCAAAAGTGTCATTCTGTCACCGTTTTTCGTGACAGAATATAACTCTTTTGGACTTGATTCAACTCCTTAAAATTTACAGTGTATACAGGTTCAAAAAAGTATATCTAGGTACAGGTAAACGTTACGCATAAAAAATATAATTAGTTTTTGTTACAAAGTAGGTATATATACTTCACATTTATGTAACGTTACAAAGTTACTTTCAACTTTTCGTAACTTGTTTAAAGTTACATCTGTAGGTTTTAATAATTCCATTGACAATGAGTTCAGTTAAATTACCGTAACGAATAAGATAACCCAACTGCAAGCCCGCAAATAGGCAGGGGAGTTATTGTAGAGTGAATCAGTTTAACGACCAAATCAACATAATAAAAGTTGATAGCATAAGGAAAATAGCAAGCAACGTAAACGCTGGTCAGAAGGGTAACACGTTGTCGTTCCACTTTAAGCCAAAATGTAACTAGTTACAGTAACCTAAAATTTATTTGCTTACTATTATTTACTTGATTACTTGTAAACTGCCTGTTTCTACGACTGAAATGGCAGATGGTTTTCTTTTTCCAAGCAGGAATCAAGAATGGCGAAGCTTTTAAGATTAGCTATTGTCACTCTATTCCTTGGCATTGTATTCAGTAAGGATTCCATTCCTTTCCCAGGTAATTATGGATATCTTGCAATTTAACTTCACGGAGCCTTTTTCTCCGCGGAACCCACGAATTTCCGACTCTGAACTCGGCCTTATGTTCGGTTTCATAAACACAACAAGCGTGAGTTTTCAGCTGTCGAGAAAGCGTTCAAAACGATTCCAAAAGAGTCGTTCTGGGGTCATTTTGCCGCTCTCAAAGGCCATTATGACCCTTTTTAATAGACCTTTCCCCTTTTAAGTGAAATTTTGATCTACATGCAGGGTGTCCCCCAAAAAACGAAAACTATTGAAATCACTTATTGTTAAATTTGAATGCCCTACCAAACAGCTGGACGTAATGATGCGTAAAATATTGACAAGGTGCATGTATTAGAATTTAGTTAGGAATATCTCCTGATAAAGTGCGCGATTTTCTGCTCCTGGGAATTAAAAACAACTTCTTAAACAGTTTCTTTATGCATAAAATTTACTTATGTCAATCATTTATGCACTCGTGGGAACCAACAGAGCGCTAAGGCATTCAAATTCTAATAATTAAATTGTTATTGGTGATTTCAATAGTTTTCTTTTTTTTTGGGACACCTTGTAAACTAGCCTGGACAAAAATTTCATTACAGCTTGAAAGAGTATCACCAAATTAGTAATATTCCGAAGTTTCGTTGCGAAATGTTGTAAAATGCGGCCGACATAATCGAATTTATAACGGTAGAATCTATTAAAAAAGTGGAAAGAATCGTGTTCAAAATTTCTAGACAACACTTTTCTTCTAGGCGGTGATGTAAAGTTTCACAAATGGTTAAATGAAATATACATCAAATCCCAAATCTCCCCAGCAACCATGAAGCGGGTGACAGACTACGTAACAAAGCAGATCAAGTTAATAACAGATGAAGTAAAAAAGCTTGACAACTGTTTTGATTTTGTTCAACTGCGTGGCTCGGCTGCAGAAGATCTAAAGATTCTCCAACCGGATGAATTTGATTTTGTCCTTTACAACGAAAAATGGACGAAGATTATCGACTACAACGAAGATAAGAAGACGCCTGGGTTTGCGTTCGCGATTGAGGAGAGAACAACTTGCCTTGATAAGTACGTTAACACAAGTGAAGTATTTATTAGTGGTATTTAAAGTTTTGTTCGTTTAACCATTTCAATAGCAAAACGACCCAGGTTGCCAGAGGTTCTGTGTCTTTCGCCTTATCGTATCTTTCGCCCGCTCGTATTTATTTTACGCGAGGCGAAGAGAACCTCTGGTGGCACGCGATGCAAATCTCTCTTCCACACTGACGTTGCCGTTTGAGAACTTGCAAAACCGGTTTTTATATTTTGTGACGTTTTTAAACTTCCGGGTTTGTCATACTGCCAAAATAGCTCTCTTCAGACTGTTTGGTAGCCTTGTGTAAAATATTAAAAGTAAGCAGCCCAAACATGTAGGTTATTCATTAGAAACATGTAGATTATTCTCGCAACACACAAAGCAACCTTACTGATTGTTAAATTTGTGGAATGCCGTTTGTATTAGCGAACGTATAAAGTCAAAAGTGAAAGAATATATATATATATATATATATATATATATATATATATATATATATATATATATATATATATATATATATATATATATATATATATATATTGAAACGAGCAGCAGCGTATGTACCTGGCGGTAGGCGTTGTAATTTGTGCATAGAAGAGAAATTAGAAATCATGAAATCAAATAAAACCAACCTGTTGAACAAAAGATCCGAGTTCTTCGCGAAATGTCGCCATCGAGAAAAATTTCAACGTCGGGAAATTCGAACGCGCGCGAACAAACAAGTCAACGCGTCAGCGAACGGTTGATGATGCAATCACGTAGCAACAAAATCGTGAACAAAATCGCCTGATGATCGTCTAGAAAGGACGTGAAACTCAGAGTAGCGATATTTAATTTTAAGATATAGACAATCTAATAAGCTCTGCTATACTTTTAGTATTGAGCACTTTATATATCTAGACAACCAAAATAAATTGAATTATATATATATATATATATATATATATATATATATATATATATATATATATATTTCTAAAATTCATGAATAATTCATGAGCTAATTAGCCAATGAATTTCTTAAAATATCGTCACATGATGACCCTTATATACCCTGATATAGATCGGTGTGTGCTGATTTAAAATTCATATTTAGACCACATGTACCTTTACGATAAAGGTACATGTACCTTTATAAAGCATTCTTTAACAAAATGTTTATTAATCTGTTCCTAATAAAAACTCAAATATTCGAGAAATCAATAAATACTTTATTTTCCAAAATTAAAATTAATGTTACAATTGTTAAACACGGGATTAACAACCCTTTCATTTTGATTACACACCACTTTAAAACTGTTTAAACCCAACAAACTTGCTCAACTAAAATTCTAAAGACGCTTCATTCATCTCCGCCAGCGATGTAGTTAATGTCTGGATTGGGCCAATATCATCAGTTTCATGACCAGCGTCGTCGATCTTCACTTCTTTAACCTTCTAGCAGCTCTCCAGGAATCAAAAATCGTCAAAGCCCACTTTGTCACGTATCTTGTACTTGGCGGTATCGCTCTTTCGAGCAACGTTTGCTCCTCTTCAGCACTTCGAGCGCTTCGAAACCGACTCATTAACAAAATAAGTCAAATATGTTCAAATTTCCATTTGAAAAATCCGTTTAACGACTTGTATGACTTGACAATTAATCTAGTCATTAATTTGCTTGCTGATCAATGAAGGGAAGAATCGTAAAACAATAGAACTATTGTAGTTAGCATTTCTTATTATTTCATTGGGACCCAAAACAAAAGGTGAATTTTAGAAGTCATTTATAAACCTCGTGATTGGGCTTTATCGGTGCCTATAGCCGCTCGCCTATATGCACCGATAAAGCCCTCTCACTCGGTTTATAAATAGTACATATATATATATATATATATATATATATATATATATATATATATATATATATATATTTATAAGTTTTTGGTTTACGAAACACAAAGTCACAAACAGTGCTCATTACCATATAGAGCGTAATATAGTTTTTCCTTTTACCTCAAAAAACCACAACAGTCTGTTTCATTCGTATAGGAAGTATAGGAATCGTCAGGTGGTGAGTAATTTCGAAAATATAGGTTGCTTTTATGCTACCGAAAGAATACGCGGAATGCGTGTAGGCGAAACAATGCTTAGGCGAAACAATTAATGCTCAGGCGAAACAATGTTTGGGTCATTAAATTTTGTTAATTAATGACCTTGTTTACTCGAACTTACTTGTGACGACACTTGCCGAAAATTTCGCTTCTTTTATTGAGTAAATTGTCTTTGCCTTTATGTCTTTCAAAATGCAAAATGTTTCTTCCAAACATAAATTGCAGCATTTAAAGCGCGGGGCCCGCGGCATATGCCGCTTCTACCATATGGTTAATTCGGCACTGTATCACAGTAGTCAGTAACACATTTGCCAAATTTGAACCTGGTTGCCTTCGTCTTAGCCTGAATGTCAGACGAATCAGGCTACCTTCGTCTCAGCGTGTTATTTTCCTGCGGCTATGTTGTAAACACTCAGCCTCGACCTAGGCCTTCTATTTTTATTTATATATTTTTAATATTCAGCGCTTTATCACATGAAAAGACTGGGACTAGTGGATTTCCCAACAACAACGCCAAAACTGCTCTGAAACTACCCTGATTGCGAAATGCCCAATTGTTGCGTTTGTCGGAACTAATGTAAACATTAACAGCAGACGCTATACTAATCAACTAACATAAATAATATAGTTCATGTTTATTATACTAACCTAATTACTAATTCACCGGAAGTGACGGCGCTAATTCATTGTTTGGGTTAGCCAATAGACAGAGACTATTTACATGTGCTTTATGGGGGAATATATTTGTTATTGGGATCGGGAATTTTGTAGTTTTACTTGTGAGAATATTTGAGAGAGAAATTGTGATTTTAAATTGTGATTTGCTGTGTTTCTTATTATTATTGTCTGGGCGACGGGCAGTAGTTTCCTACACGTGGCACCTCGCGACGAGATATTTGTGTAAACGCTCGAACAAGAGCAAGAATTCGCAGTTTTCGATGGCTACAAAACCAACTGAACTCGACGAAGCACAGCAAGCGCTCGAGACAAAATTGAAACATATCGCGATAACTCGAGAGAAAACCGAGAAAATTATCTCTTCGAACAACGAACAACGCATAGAAAGACATCGTGATGCTTTAAAGGATCTGGTAAATGCTGCAGATAGTTCTAAACGAACAGTAGAGGGATTAAAAATTGCAAATGGCGAAGATATTGAGAGTATTACAGAGTGGGGTGAAAAGATAGAAAATACCATCGGCCAGGCTGACATCGACTTGGATACGTTACAAAAGTGGATCATTAAAACCAAGGAACATACTACAGCTAAAAGTAGAAAAGAGCAACTAGATTTCGAAAAGGAATTATACGAAGCTAAGCTACATTATAAAACCCAGTTAGAGGAAACCAAGCAACAGCAAATCGGGGGAGAAACATCGAGTTCCATGTCAAGTTCTGGGCTCGAAGCGAAGCTACCAAAGTTAGTAATAACAAAATTCAATGGAACCTACGAAGATTGGCAACGATTTTGGAACCAATTTCGAGAGACAATCGACAAGTCAAGCGTATCGAGTGTGACAAAGTTTTCGTACTTAAGAGAGTTATTGGATAAAAAAGTCAAACCAACTATCGAAGCCCTGCCCTTCACGAATGAAGGCTATAACCGTGCGAAAAGTATTCTCCAGTCGAAGTATGGGAAAGAGTCTGAAATTGTCAAAGCGTACACTAAGCAAATTTTGGATTTACCTTACATCTCGGATGCAAACGTTGGGAAAGTTCACGAATTTAGTGAGAAACTTTCCTATTGTGTTCAGTCATTAGAAACAATGGGGAAGCTAGAACAAATAAATGGTAACGTTGCAATGACATTGGATAAGTTAGCTGGAATACGAAGCGATTTGGTTCGGACCGACCCGGAATGGGAGGACTGGGACTACAACAAACTGACTGAGGCGCTAAAGTTGTGGACTCGACGAAATCCCATCAATGATTCGATAAAGAAAGACACTCGTCCACGAAACCATGACAACAAGGTATTCAATACAAAGCTGGGTGCGCGAGGGTGTGTTTATTGTGATGCAAAGGAGCACAAGTCAACTGACCGTCCCAAAGTTGTCGATACCCAGGAAATAAAGTCAGTACTGCCCAAACGGCGACTTTGTTTCAACTGCACAGGTGAAGGTCATCAAGCAGCAAGTTGTACAAGCAAGATAGCATGTCAGAACTGCGAACGGCGACACCATACATCAGTCTGCAACCAACCGAAGGAAAGGAATAACCTCATGACTGCAAAGAATGGCGAAGGAACATTTCCAATTGTGACGGTGAAGGTGAATGGGGTAACCTGCAGAGACCTTGTGGATTCGGGAGCTGGCAGCTCATACGTTTCAGCTAAACTGGTTAGTCTCCTGAATAAAAAACCTGTTGATATGAAAATGAAACAAATTGATATGCTTATGAGTAGTAAGTTGGAACACCTCGAGACATACGAAATGGAGATACAGTCAGTTGATAGGGACTTCAGCATGCAAGTGGACTTAATCAAGGTAAATAAGAGTGAACTCTTGTCAATTGACAACCCACACTATAAGGTCCAAGTTGATACCTACCCCCATCTTAAAGGAGTGCATATTCATGATGATGATGCAAAGCCCCAGTTACCAGTGCATGTCGTTCTTGGAGGGGGGAGTATGCCAGAATAAAAACCAAGAGTTGTCCGCGAGTTGGGAAAGAAGGTGAACCCATCGCTGAACTCACAAAGTTGGGGTGGTTTATTATGTCTCCAGGACAGGAGTTTGACCATAATAACATGATGTTAATGCAGACCTCTCAGTCAGATTATGAGGTCTGCCGACTAGATGTACTGGGACTGTCTGACACAGCAGAGCACGACCAAAGTGAAGTTTACAGGGAGTTTAAGGAGCAGTTACAGCGATCTCCAGAGGGCTGGTACACAACTAGTCTACCTTGGAAAGGGAATCACCCTCCCCTTCCTACAAATGAGAAAGGAAGCCTTCAGCGTCTCATATCCCTGTAGAATCATCTTCTCAAAAGGGGACTCTTCGAACAGTACGATGCTATAATCGAAGACCAAAAGGTTCAAGGAATTGTTGAGGAAGCACCAGCAAAACCTGAGAACAGGGAGAGTTACATACCCCACAAGGAAGTGGTGAGAGAGACAGCGACATCTACCAAACTGTGTGTAGTATATGACGCATCAGCGAAAGCAACCCCAGACAGTCCTTCACTTAACGATTGTCTTTATCCCGGCCCTCCTTGCAGAATAAACTCTGGGAAGTGCTTGTGCGACAAAGAACCCACCCAGTGGCCTTGGCAGGTGATATTAAACAAGCTTTTCTGCAGATACGCATCAAAGAGATGATCTTCGATTTCATTGGAGATGAAGAAATGACGAAATCCAGATCCTACGGTTTACTAGGGTGCTGTTTGGACTAGCACAATCACCATTTCTTCTCGGTGGCATCCTGGAAGCACACCTGGATATGTGGAAAGAGAAACGACCCAACGATGTTGAAGAGATTAGACGCAGTTTGTTGTTGACAACATTCTCAGCGGTGGTGAAACAGTTCAGCAAGCACAAGAGCGAAAAGAAGCTGCCATAACTATACTTGATGATGCCAGATTCTCACTTCATAAGTGGGCATCGAACGAAAGCGACCTTGAAGACGAACGAAAATTGCCAACCAGTGATGAAGACCAGACGGCTGCAAAGATGCAGTTGGGCGTAGCACTGACAGAGTCAAAGATACTTGGAATGCCATGGAACAAAAGGGAAGATACCTTGGGTGTGCAATTGACCCATGAAGAGAACAGCGCGACAACAAAACGGGGAAATCCTCAGACATTTGGCTAAAGTTTACAACCCCCTGGGCCTTGCTTCACCCTTGACATTGCTAGGGAAGATCATCTATCGAGACATTTGTGATGCAAAGCTCCCATGGGATGCTGAACTTGACGGCGTGCTGGAATCACAATGGCTGTCATGCAAACGGATGCTTCCTGATATGATAACAGTCCCTAGACCAATCGCTCGACATCAGGAGCCAATTACAGATATCCAACATCATGGATTCGGCCACGCTAGCAATCAAGGAGTCAGTGCTGTTGTATACGCGCTCGCCAAACAAGACTCCAGAGACACCCAAACGTTAGTGGCTGCAAAGTCTCGCCTGGCGAAACGTGGACTTACCATTCCTTGGCTAGAATTGGTCGCTGGTCATATGACAGCAAACCTGGTTAGCAACGTGGCGAAGGTAATCGGTCAAGAAAGAGTGTCACAACAACATGATGGCATGACAGTACAGTCGCTCTGTATTGGATACGAGGCATGGGGGAGTACCGACAGTTTGTGGCTAATCGTGTCATAAAAATTCAAGCTCACTCCA